CCCCCCCCCCCCCCAAACAACCTCTCTTTCTTTTTTTGTACCGACACTACCTGGTAAGCTACAGAGTGTCAAATGTCATTTCCCCTCTCCCCTCGATTTCTCCATCCAATGAGAGTAGCGCTCGGCTATTGGAGCTGCATGAATCGAGCGGCCCACACAGAGCTGTATACAACATTTTAAGGCATCGGGATGAAACATTAAGGTATGAAACCCTATTTCACGCTATTTTAGACATTCATTTCTTTCCTCTTGTTTCAATTTTGAGATTTGCCTCGTTTTCCAAGCATTATTTGGTTCTAATAGTTGTCGGAGGCGCCGAATTAGCGTCGGAAGTGTTAAACGTAGCTTGCGAGTTTTCGTAAGGGATTCCGGCACGAATTCAAGACATTATATGTAAGATAGGCATTATATGTAAGATAGGGAGGTATGAAAAAGATACATGAGATAAATATATAAATATAATGAGAGATGCATGTTAAATAGTTACACAGCAGAGTAAGTATGTATGTTAGCAGTTGCATGATGAGGTCTCAAAATAATGAATGAAATTTTATATATGAATGTTTGTATATGTATGTTCAGAATAGAATTTAACCCTCTAATGGTACAAGCAGAGGACGCAATTGTACCCGCACGCATAGAATTTATATATCACCTCAGACAATTATGATGGATAGTTCATTAACCGCTCTGCCGACGCGATAATATCGACCAGGGTGAGTGGATAAGAGCTTACCTCCTCAAAAAAATTGTGATGTTTACATTGTTAATCGATGTGCCGACAGGATAACATCGGTAAGGGGCAGGTAATGGCCTTTTCACTAAATAATTGCAATGCGTAGGTCGCTAACCGTTATGTCAACGGGGCAATATCGGCTAAGGGTATATTAGGTTGTATTGAGATGATCCTAGTAGAGACAGTTGTGTATGTAAAGTATAAAGTTTAAGAAAATGCTTATAGAATATCATTTTCATTCAGAAAAAGTCATCGATACATGCATTAGCAAATATCAAATTGCTTATAAAAATATGAATTGTCAACCTATTATAAAATTGCTTATAGACATGCATGCATATTGAATTCTTTTCCTTTGAATATTGTAGTTGAGAAGTGTGGTTACTTTTGGGTTATCTTTAGATCTGATTATGTTGTTTTAATATTATATTTAGATTTTAAACATTTAAACAAGATGAATAGAAGAGCAAATGTATACAAGAGGTGAGAACAACTAGTAAGGCACCAATTTTTACTTATTAATTTTTATTTTATTTAGTGTCTGTTTCACGTATTATTTGAATAGTAACATGCTTGTGATAGAAATAGATTAGTAGAGAATTGATTTCCCCCCTCCGACCGTCATTTCCCGTCTTAGTTAACTTCAAGCACCAAGCCGAGTTATGACATTGCGTCTGATATCGGCGCCTAGGACTCACTTCCCTTTTAAACAACCAATGTTAGTCCTATTGGGACTCCTCTCAATGTTTGCAACAAGATAATCGATGGCACCACATCCTCAAACTCTTTATGAACGTCAATTACCTTAGACTCACTACCTTCTAGAAGAAACAATGATAATCATGTTGGAGTCTCACTCATGGGCTCAGCTTGAATCACTAGCATCTTTCCCTTGTCGATTGCAAGCTGGTACTCCTCTCCATTTTCCTCCTCGGGGTCTTCACCCTCTGCCTCCTCTACGTCACTTTGCTCAGTGAAATATTTCATTCTCCAATGTGGAAAATCTGATATGATGTGCCCAAAACCATGGAACTTGAAGCACATCTGGTTGGGATTGATTCGGGGTTGTTGGTGTGCTCCACATTTACTTCATTTTAGATAGATTTATACTCATCCGTGATTGTCTTGGATGCTCCACTAGATCAAAGAATCATGTGCATCATAACAGAACCAAGCACTTTGAGATTGAGAGATGTTTTATCTTTGAGAAGATCAATGGAGGCATTATTCACTTGATCTATAATTGAACTCATAATCAAGTAGTTGATATCTTCACTCCAAATAACTTTTGATTTGAATACCAAGTTGGGTCTCTTTACAAAATCTAAGACCAAGCTTGAGGGGTAGTGTGAAATTTTGAGTCTTCTTTTTTAGACCTATTCTCATTTATTCCTTTCTTATTAGGTTGTTTTTCATTCATATTGTTGGTTATTGTGTCTTTGATAAGTTGTAATGGTAGGAATTAAACTTGCCCTAACTCTTACTTATTATATAAGGAGAAGAGTTGTAACTTTGATCATGGAGAAATAAGAGAATATTACTTTTCTCCTACTTTCTTAAATATTCACCCCCTCTTCTACACTTCCTAGTCCTATTATAATGATAGGGTTCTTCAAGCTTTCCAATAGAAGTTGAATTCTGCCTCAGTGTTGGAAGCCTCACTATGGCTACCAACGTAAAGATCCTATAAGGGTGACAATCCTAACCAAGATGAATCCCATGGTCCTGATATCATGGTTACAATGGTGATTAATCAACCCACCCAACAGCCAGAAATGATTCAACAACTAGTAGGATTTGCCAGGTTGGATATCCAAGGCCACCTTCTACCAAACTCATGCTATACACCACTGTTGCCACCTAAAAATAAAAATTTATGCATCAAGATCATTAAAGAAAGGAAAGAGGAAAAATATAAGAACATTTATCAGCATTTTTTTTTTCGTAACTGACATTTTGATTATAACAAGGCCATCATGCAAGACTCATGTATCTGTGAGATCAAACTTGAGGGCTTATAAAATGTCAAACAACATAAAGTATGGTCTACAACCTAAGGAATCAAGTAATATCTACCCAAATATTTTTACCTAGAATAAAAAAAGTAAGAAATTGGCATTAGGCAATAATTTCCCTTATCTCTCTATGCACTATCCAGCAATGACCATTGCATCAATTTCACTAAAGAACATAACAAATGAAAACTGATGGCAAAAGTATGGTTTGCACTCTTTCTGAGCACATTTGCATCCTCAAGCAATTATCCAAAGCTGAAGGGTAGTTGATGAATCTAAAGGAAAATTTGATGTAAAATCTATCAGCATACAATTAAGTTAGAAAGTATGGGTATGCACAAGGGAATGCAGATGGGTATGGGATTGTGTCAGTGATTGGGGAGTCTGTCCTGTGCACAGTTAAGACCATTAATTTTAGTGTGCAGCTGTGTAATGGTTATGTTCATCAGCTACGGAAATTTATAGCATGAAGGACTCAAAATTGGAATAATGGGTTCCAACAGTAGCTATTGGTACTTTTTCTAGAACCTAGACCTTAGCTTATTAAAGTTGACCTACACAATTTCTTTAAGCTAGTTCACCAAAATTATCAAAGTGTTGAACTCATATTACTTTAACCCTATTGATAGAAATAGTCATGCAGTACATTCATTATTACAGACCATGATCACTCCACATTATCTAGGCCTCAAATGACATTACAAAAAACTAAACCAATAAGCCATTAAGACCCTGAATAAAAAGAGGGAAAAAGAGAAGGGCAGGAGGTGATGGGCAAATTCACAAGTACATAAATAATCTCTCAGGTACCAATGAAAAGTAATTCATGAACACTTATAAGGTCCAAAGAAATATGACAAAATGTTATAAAATAACTTGCATTCTCTCTTTAATACATAAACGAAGCCAAACATCTTGATCAAGTTTAATTAAGCAGATTTGGTTTAAACAAAAACACTTCCGAATTGTATGTTTCAATATAAGCTCAAGGATAATTCACCTTTCTATACTTGCTTGGAGGAATTGGAACTCTTCCATCTGCACAGTCATGGTTTCATATAATCAATTTAATAAACAATTTCTAAAGCAATAGTAGTAGAATATCATCATCACCATCAGCTCTATCCCAATTATTAGCGGTCAACTTAGGAATCCAACATTCTACATTTGTCAAATCTATTTTGAGCAAATCATTTTGCACAAGGTCTATCCACATTATTAATCATGAACATTAAAGTAAATTTGCAATCTCTTTAAATAAGAATTGAAGAATGAGCTCCAAAATAACCTATCAAATCAGCATTAAAAAAACATTAAAAATTAAACTAAGTGCCTAATGTGGTTGATGGCTAGTAACTGCTCTCAAGCATAAACTTATTTCATAATTGTTCACGTCCATTATTCTTGTTTAAATAAACAACTTTTACAAACTAGACAAAAAGAGAGTACAACAAACGGCATTTAATAAAAAACGCAAAGAGTAAACAAAAAAATTTTGCAACAGTATAATATGAGATACAATTATCTAGATCGCCTAGCTTGGAGCATAGTGAATATTGGGGAGAAATGATAAATCTTCTTCTGATTCCTACCCCTTCTAATATAAAGAATATGACAACTTTTATCTGTTACGGAGTCAACACTTTAAATGCTCTAATCAGCATCAAAACTTTGGAATAGTAAAGGTTCATTCTGCTCACAAAGTGGATGAAATTGTGGTGTTTTAAAAACTTGTTGAGTATTCTAAGTAGTAATATCAACAACTGATGATGAAATTAATACCAAGGGGCAAGCAACAGTAGGAAAATCAATCAATCAACTTGGCTCAAAAATTATAGAACAAGTCATGATTAGATTATGGAAGCTCTTCCACCAAACAAGTAGGAGATTAATCTGAGCATCAGATGGAAGAGTCAATGATCAAAATTTAGTAAGCCTCAACTTAGAATGTGCGTTGAAACATTAAAAAATTTATGCCCAAAAATATGACAAGAAAAATAATAAAAATGAATGTTTTCAAATTCAAATTTCTGCCAATATCTCGACAATTGAGATCCAACCCACATCGCTTTACAGCATAACAGAAACATCAAAATTCACCAGCATTCTAGACACAAGGGCCTAGTAAAACAAGTTGTTGCAACTTCCACCTTTGTTTACCTCAATTCTCTTTTAATCTTGTCTTTGTTAACAAGATTACATGTGCACTTAATTGTCGTATCTTATTCTTTCTTGACCATTATCATTTTTCAGGATCTTATGTCGATTAGGGCATCCATCACTACCAAAGCTTAAAAAGTTATACCCTCAGTTATAGCAATTATAATATTTAAATTGTGACTTATATCAATTTACTAAACACTATCGTTTGTCTTCTATTCCCAGAATTAATAATAAGTTAGTCATAGTTTTGAATTGGTTCATTCTGATGTATGAGGACATTATCATGTTTTGTCGAATGGATTTCAATATTTTATCAGTTTTGTGAATGATTTTTTCTCGTAAGACTTAACTTTATGAAACTTTGTTTTGAGTCACTATCATATTTTCAATCCTTTTGTGCTAAAATTAAAATTCAATTCAATTTTTTTAAGATTCTGAGAAATGACAATATCAAAGAATATTTATCTGCACCTTTTCAGATATACATGGCACAAAACGGGAGGTTTACACTATAAGAATATCAAAGAATATTTCTCTACACCTTTTCAGCTACTGAGAACATGTCCAAATAGTCAATTATATAAATTTTAGCATAGTCCTTAGCAACAAAGCTACAAAGTCATATTATTTAAATGGGTTTAAAAATGACAGTTCCAACAGTCGTGGCATGATAACCAAGCTACAAAGTCATATTGTATAAACCTTTTGTGTTCCATGAATGAACAAAGCACATTGATATAGATGGTCATTTTTTTGTGAAAAAATTAACAAAATTTTATTTCCACAGTTCATGTAAAGACTAGGGAACAACTAGGGGAGATCTTCACAAAAAAACTTTAATGGAGCTAAAGTCACTTATATTTGTAACAAGGTAGGCATGATCACTATTTATTAAGAAGCTTGAGGGGAGTGTTATGGAAAGTATTAAATATAATGGTTGTATGTTAGGAAGTTTGATATTGGGTAACCTAATTAGAAGAGATCCTATAGGATCTTTTCTATATTAGAAATAGTCTCATATGCTTTTAGTAAAGGGATAAGAGAAAAGGAAGTTTCCCTTAACAGAAAACAAGGGAATATAATTAAAAGTGTAAATAGTTTAGAATTGCTCATGACAATGATTAATTTCTTTATTTTAGCTTTAGATTGTATATATTACTAAAATACAAATGAAATGCTTTCTTTAAAAAGAAAGATTTTCATTTACATTAGAAGTTCACGTTTTCTTAAAAATTGTATGAATTATGGATAAAAATCACAAGGAAACTTGAACCAAGATCAACATACATTAAAAATTACAAAGCTAAATTCGACACATTTTCTGTTCGCCATCGCATGAATTGACAAACTTTACAAACGAACAAATGCTCCAACATTTTTAGTAGAAATTGATGCCTAAAGTTTTAAATATGAGAATGAAATTGGGTTTGTTTGGGGCTGCTGCAGCTTATCCAACTTATCCAGATTAGCAGCTTATTCTGATAAGTTATTGCTCAGCAGCTTATTCGGATAAGCCGTCTGTTTGTTTAGGCCAGTTATTTGAAAACAACTGATTTACAGCTGTTTGTGGAAAATGACAATTATGTCCCTATTAGGTAATGTTGTTTGTAACAGAACTGTCTTAGCAATATATTCGATACTACAGAAGAAAAAAACCAATATAGAATAGTACAGAAAAAAAGATGAAACACTTCAAATCATGTGCTTGAAGTGCCCAACATTTCACCAAATTACATAAACTTTTTATATTTTGATACCTCAACAGATTCAAACAAATTTGAATCCTATCTTAATTTTGAACTAATATTTCAAACATTTATGCTTCTTCATCCTTAAGAAAATTTTAAAAATGACCAACCATACCGTCAAAACCTAACCTAGAAGACTTATTAAGAAATTGAAGAGCTTGAACTTCCAAAACTATTATGGATCATATAATAAATCTTGATTATTATGATCTTGTGCCTAATTTGCCTCTACAATTGATTAATTGCTTAATGTTTCATGCATGTGACATTGTGTTAATCTACATCAACATCGATGTAATTTGTGTCTGTCAATTCATTTTTCTACTACCACTATCGTCGCATCCTCCAAGCTATTTTAAACATTGACAACTCCATTCCTAACACAAAACATACAAAATTTCTTCTATTTAACAACTTTCATAAGCACTATAACTTTGTTTTTCAGCTTTAAAACTTCTCTATGGATATAACTCATTCACTCACTCAAGCTAACCTTTCCAGACCACATAAACAGCTTTCATTTCCAGTTCCCTAACACAAGAAAATCATTTACAGAATGATTATTTCCTTCAATTTTCAATATCGAAGGAGAATTTAAAAGAACATATAAAACTACACAGCCTACAGGATGCCTGTTTGAATCTATTTCTACTTACAAAAAAAATTCTTCCTCTCCCCAATTTGTTGCAGGACCTAAGCTTTCTTCCAAAATAGAATTTCCATGGTGTGCAAAGTGCAAGTTGCAGAACACCTACCTGCTGGTTCTCACATGGGTATACAAACTAACAATATGTCTCAACGAAGCAGAAATATTTTTCACTAATAAAAAACTGAATTTATACAAAAAAAATCGAAAAAAGATTTCAGTTCAAATATGGCTGCATAATAGGTTCTGACATCCTGGCCATCCCAATTACTTTATCTACATAGAGCATCAAAACACATGTTTCAGCACTTAGAGCAAGTCATCAATCTAATAGGATCAAAGAACTAGTAAGCTCTAAAAGGTGCAGATAATGATGCAATATATTGCAAAGATGAGCTTAATAACTATAGAAATTTCAAAACCCAGAGACAACAGGATATAGAGCATGTTGAAGGTCAACTCGTCAGCGTTAGGGTAATCTGCTAAAAGATGAGATTTTGAAAAAACCATATTTTTTCGAGATACACGAAATGATGAGAGGAGTTCTGATACCTTTTGGGAGACGATGAAGTTAGAAGGTTTTATCAATCTGTGAGCGACGTCGCTGATCGCTTCAGCTCTAACTCCAATTTTGATAAAAAATCCTTGCTCAAAGCCCATCTATAATACGCCTTTAAGATGAAACACAAAAAGAAGAAATTTGGTTTCACTTCATACACAACGCTTTCCTAGTTTCATAAAAGCTCCTTCCTTTTTCACTTAAGGCGCAAATCACAGCAAGAACCATCTTAATTAGAAAGCCTATTGAAGGAGAATGTAAAATTTAGCAAAGTGAAGCGAAAAAATGTAAAGAACAAGCATTCAGAAAGAGGATCCCTCAGCACCGGAATAGATTAAAGAAGTAATTACCTTCTTCAATGGTTTTTGGTCGGAGCGGTGCGGGAAGGATGAAAAAGATGGGAGTTTCGGTGGTCTCTGTAAGTCGCGATCCCTTCGTTGCCATCCCAGTTATGTATCGCAAAGGTTTGTTCACGAAGTCAATAATTTTGGTAGCGAGAGAGAAGGGATCGCGAGAGGCAGCTGAGACACAGCACGAGAGAGACGAGGGCAGCGGGGTAAAAACCGCAAACAAACGCGGGCCGCGGGGTTGATCCCGCGGCCGCGTTTATTATACAAAAAAATACGCCGTTTTTAAAACTCAATCCGAACGGATTTATCAAACAGTGCGGCTGTTCCAAACGGGGCCATATATGAAAACAAACACAAGCATGCAAAATAAATAAAGCCAAATGAACCCCACTCATCATTTAACATTACCGCATTTAGTTTATTTCCTAACTACATGAAATTAGATGTTTAAATTCCTTCTTTTTTCATTTATTATTGGATCTGTACGCTAGCTTATGTAAGATTTTCTGCAGAAGTCCAGGACAAACCTTTCATCTTAACATATGATGTATTAAGAAATTATATTTTAAAAAAATCAAAACATGATCAATCTTACATTACTCTAAGAGATTCACCATTGCTCCTCCATATTAGAATTTGCAAACTTACCTGAGAATTCCATATAATCTTTAGTCTTTGCTTTACTAAAATATATTCATGTTCCTTTTGATTTAACCATAGATTATATCTCCTCATTTTACCGAGGGATCCCTAACCCTAATTATGCATGTTAACCCAATAGTGTGTATATTGCAAATGATTTTTAAAAAAGATTCCTTCAACAAAAGGATAACAAGTTTGACAATCATTAAAAAACAATTACCATACCAAAAAACTAATAAACTATCAACTTTATGCTATGCTTTGCTAAGGGGGTAACGTCTATCATCGTGCAATTGCTTCTATAAAATTCAAATAAGGATTTTATAAAGTTTTAAAAAACTGTTACAATTTTTAACAGATTTGATAACAAATGCTAACTTTAACATACTTTTTTAGTGCAAATATGTTTTCTCTTCAGCAAAAACACTTGAAAAGTTTTAAGCTAGTATATATCCTTCCTTGCACCTATGCAATTAAATTTGAAAAACAAGAACTATATCTAAGAGCTACAAACAAAATATCAAAATGGTATCAAGATTATTTGTGTGGCACCATTTTAATCGCTGACAATAAATTTATTCAATTTAAACCCTTAAATTCTCAATTTCAATTCAAAATAGTCCCTTTCTTGGATTACTTTGGATCAGTATGATAAATTAATGGAACATTTAGGAAAGTCCGGAGATCAAATTGGACACATTAGATAAAAAAAAATGCCACCGTTACAAGAACGATTTTGACCATGTTCACATGAATTTTCTATAGGATCCTAATTGCTTCAAATTTATGCATTTTCCATACTATTTCTAGTTAATTTGTAACACAAGCAAGTACTTCAACCCTGCTTTAATAGTCATATTTTTTATACCCTAAAATGGCATTAACATAATTTGGAAATGCAAGCATGTGAAGAACAAAATATGTGGTTTCTAATGCTATAGGTAGAAAGCAACTTCGTCACCCACTAATCCTAACTCACCACCTCCCCAACCTATAAGCCGGGCAAGATAACCGCCTTGTTTGCTCATGGCAAGATCAAGGGAGAACACTGATTCATAATCTAACAAAATGTCTCCCGCAAAACTATTACATTAACCTGAAAGAAAAAGACATTGAACAATCAGAAACGAATCTATCACTACAAATCACCAAGATAAAATTTACAGTTAAAACATAAAAATTCCAATATAATTTATTAAAGTGTATTCCTCAAAAAACTTAAAAATTTATAATTAGCATGCTTTTATCTTTTTCCAAAACATCACAAATAAAATTTGTCGAACCACTACCATGGATGTCAGCTATATCCTTAGAAACTTCTCCCAAACAAATTTAACATACTAATTACATCAGAAATCAGCCTCAATATTTGGCATAAAACTAATGGTGATGATGATGGCGATGACAATGATGATTACTTCAGAAAGTCAAAATCATGCTTTTAAAATAAAAAATAAAACCAAAAAATAACATTGTGCCTACTGTCACGAGCAGGTTCTGAAATAATCTGGTTGGACCCCACCCCTGTTGTAGAAGAAGGCTGACATGTGAGTTCTTGTTGTTGTACCGACACCGCACATGATGCCTCTTTTGCTTGAATTCCAGATTCTCCATCTGAATTTTGTTTGGTTTAAAAGATGCAATCACATAGCCACCTCATTTATGAAAAAAATAATAATGAATGAAAACCTCACCAGGAGCATATATTGGAAGATTGTTATATGAAACATTAATGGAATTCTGTGCATCGAGAAAATGTTCAATTGCCTGTCGAAGAGACAAGTTTGGCAACAGGTCCTTGACGGTGCATTTTGTGGAAGAACATTTCGGACAACTTGATTGCTTAATTAATGCCAAAGTAATGCCTTCAAAAATATCATGACATAAGAAATCATGCAAAAATGCATCCAACAACATGAATTGAAGAAGGGAAAAAAATTATATCATATTGTAAGAGATAAGTATTGCTTGAATGTGTAGCCTATTGAATTCCCTTTTTCAGAGCAACATAATCAGACAAAGGTTCAAACCAACAGATTCATCGAGAAGAGAAAATAAGGAGAGAGAGTGAGAGACAGAGAGAAAGATGAGAATTAAACAGCAGCCAATATTTTAGTCAAACAATTGATACCTCAACCTAACAAATACTTTATTCAAACAATATTTATTGTAAAGGGGAGCAAGAGTTACAAGCAAGAAAGCAACAAAACATTTCGACAAAAAAAATTTAAAAATTAATAAGGCAAAAAATATAAATATTCCTACAAACTATAAATAAAGCAATGAAATATTTATTATTATCATATATAATCGAATGTCTATGAAATTGAATTTCGTTGGAATCCCACAAAAAAAGGATTTCCACAAAAAATAGACTTCGCTAGCACTTAGCACAAAATAAACAGGTTAGTCATGATTAAGTGGAGGGACAGTCAAAGTAATACAGCCACTAACATGTGAGTTCTTGTCGGGGAACGCGCGTAAGGGTTTACGTTGTAACACGAAAGATTGTTTGCGCTCCCTTTACCACGCGTTCTGCGTTTCCTCAACTTATTACTCCTCAGCCCCTCGATCCCGTCTTCTTCGTTGCCCTAGCTCTACGATCAAACTCCCCTGTTCTCGGCCCTCAACCTCATGCACCCCCTCCTCTCCCATTTCTTGTGTGGCCTTTAGGTTATGAACAGGTCGTTAGGTGGTGGATCGAAAGTTGTGTGAAATTTTGCAGGTATCTCTCTTATGCCTTATGGTTTTGCACAGCTCCTCTTCCCTGTAGAAAAATGTTATTTGTGTGGTTGCCTGTGATGTTATAGGGGTGATGGAATTATGGTGAGTTGGGCAATGCTATTACTGGGATGCATTGGGCAATGCTATTAGTGGGAAAAAGATTTTGAACTTTCATGTTACAGGGCTTTCTTTGTGTTATTTCTTCGTATTTAACTGTAGAGAAATTTTTTATCCTTCGTATTATTGGGATCCTTTGTCTGAAATTTTGCAGGCTCTAAAAAAAATAGTTCTTGTGGGTTGCTTGTGATGGTTAAAGACATCACATAAAAATGAAACTTTAGGTTTTAAATGAGTTTATTTCTCTTTCCAAAGGTTAGATGATGGTAATTTTATTGTCATATGAAAGATTGTGTGGTATAATGGGTTTTTAAGAAAAAATTTCAGATGTTAGGTATGCGAATATATAGTAATTGGCTTATATGCATGCAAATACCCCTTGATTTTGGATAGTTTGGTTGAATAGTTGATGAAAATATTGTCCTACTCTATTTGTATGGTATGCAGTGAGCATCACTTTTATTTAAGCATTACGTAGAGGAATTTGTGGCTGCAAGCTTCAAACATTGCTATTTGATTTGAAATGGAAGTTTTGTGGGGAATTGAAATGTATACCACACACTTCCTTTAAATATATCCAACTAACACCTAAAGTTTCATATTTATGTGTATAAACCTTAGATGTCACAAAGCTTTAATATATTTTAGGGGTGATGGAATTATGGTGTTGCTAGTGGAAAATAACTTAGCTTTAATATTCCAAGCAATTTATTGACATTAATGTTAATGAAGCATGAATGTCAAGCACATGAATGTCAAGCATAGTTATGTCCCAAGTGAAAATGAATTGGTTGTAACTTTTCTACGGATGTTTATTGTTTTTCAGTTTTTTGGGGGCAAAACTTCTGCTAGTAAAAAATAATTTGCAAGAGAAGAGTTTTTTTAATTGCATTTTAGAAGGAAATGAATGTCATTTTATTTAGAAGGAAATGAATGCCATTTTATTTCACTAAGGGAGATGGGTTAAATTATTGAACTCCTCCCATGCAACATATATAGTACAATAACGTTTGTTTTTGCACATGTAAATATATAAGAATTGGATTGTATGTATGTAATTGCAATGCTTGCAGTTCTATATAGTGTGTGCTAGAAAATGAACTGGCAACATTTTCTACTGTCCTTTCTTCTCAATAGCCAACACTGACAGTTGATGCCAATGTTCATGACACCTATACCTTGTATGGTTGGGAATGGAGATTATGAATCTCAATACCTGTGTGAGAATTTGAGAATTTGAGAATTTGGTATGCTTGTATTCTTGGGAATGGAGATTATGCATATGACATTGCAAGCATGGAATATGGTAACATCAAATTATTGCTTAGTAGTCTATACATATGATTAGTCAAAAAGCTATTGCTTCTGACAATGAAGGGTGCTTCTTCCTCATAAATATTCCTTTCTGGAGCTCTACTATTTCTTCAACAGTGAGGCTTTTATGAGAATTCTTAAAATCTTACTTTTTTGGCATGGTTGTGACTGGTAAAGATGTTGGATCTTGCTCTTTATTGTTGTGCAAGCTTTATAATCTTATGTTTCTTTCCTGTGATGGTGGTGAAGAATGTTGAGTACATTGGCATTGTGGAGATAATGGTCATGATGTGTTGCAAATTAGTGAAGCATCATTTTGTTTCATATGGTGTGATTATTTTCTGAATACACTAGGGACATATATGAAACATATATATAATTGAATATTTTTGTGTTAGACATGCAAATTCGTATGAACAATGTGATATGTTTGTAAATGTCGCCAATCACATATGTGAGCATCACTCAATTGCTTTTATATTAATTTCAAAATTATATGTTATGTTGTTTTGTTTAACCATCAATTCTTCATATAGTTCCAAAATGACTATGATGAACGAAGGGGGTCCATCAGCTATGTGGGATAAGGAAGTTACAAATGTTTTTTGCAATCTCTGTATTACATAAATTGAACTCGGTAATAAGCCAACCACAAATTTCAACAAGAAATATTGGCAAAATATTGCAAAAAGGTTCAAAGAATTAACTGGAAGGGATTACAACAGACTCAAATTCAAAACAAATAGAATCAATTGAAGAAGTGGAAATTTTGGAAGGAGCTGAAATGTGGATCCGTCGGGTTGGGTTAGGATCCCGTTAAACGAAAAATTGATGCTCCCGATGAATGGTGGGTTGAGAAAATAGAGATACTCACTACACTCATTTTGTACATTCCATATTTTTGTAGTTTTGTGACTAAACCCATCTCCTTCCATAAAATGATACAGGTCATATTGTGGAGGCCATTATGTCACTTCACAACTTCGGCCGACGACATCCCTCTCAATCAGATACGGACTTCACTTTGGCTGATGACGATCAGCTGCATGTGTCTCCAGAACCTTCAGAATCTCTCGTGGAGCAATCATTACCAGAGGATGAGATCGAGTCGATTGAATTTGAAACTCACGACAGTGAATGTATAGCAGAGATGACTGGTTTAAGGGAGTCTATAGCAGATGTTATATGTAGATGTTGATTCAGTCACACTTCTTTATTTATTAGACTGTAGGTTTATTTCGTATGAATTTCATTATATAATGAATTTGAGACAGTTCTACGATTTTCGTTTATTTCAGTTCTATTGTTAAAACTTAATTTAATTTTATGATCTGACAAATGATTTTCTTGTCGTTTTATCTCAGTAGCACCATGAGCTCTAGGATTGGATATCTCGAGTTGTGTTGTGTTACTGTGAACTACATGCTCCCTTACTAACGTCACGCCAGCCTCATAGCAGTGAGCGACAGTTCTACGGTTATCTGACTACACGATGTGGTTTCTTCTGTTGGGTCGACATTCCAACATACTCCCCTACCGATAGTGATCGCGGTACGATGGTTTCCCAGGAAGATAGTGTCGTTGAGGACAAACGGCGTCAAAGTTTTAAATTGAACATTTTAATATTTTTAATTTCACTTGTAATTGTATTTTTCTTTATTTTATTCCTTTTGATACACGAGATAATGAGCAGTGTATTTTATTTTTTTGACCTGACCTATAACAGTTTGAGGCTTCTGTTATATCTATTATTTTCCCCATACAATTTTGTTCCAAAGAGTTTTACTAAACAGGGGCAAAATGGTCATTTATCCAACAACAGCTGTCAGTAAGCTATTCCGAATAAGTTTCCCAAAACAGCAAGTCAGCTTATTCTGATAATTTGCAGATTATCATATTATCAGAATAATCTACTTATCAGCAGATTATAAATAATCAACACTTGTCCCAAACAGACCCATAGTAATCTTAATTTGGATGGAACAGTAGTTTCTCTGTTAAAGTTTACTCGTGCATTTTATCGCATCACTCATTATCACAATCAATCATGACAATTATGGCTATTAAATGAATAACTAAAGTAATAAGAAAATTCAAGCAAACAAGAGATGCAATCTTAAAAGAAAATAGCTCGTGTCCCGACACGGTAAAAAAAACAAGACTAGCTTTTAAATGCAAGAGAAAATCAAAATGAAAGTCAGCTTAAAATTTGAATGTCCAGTTTAAAGATAAAGTTGATTGGAAAAGCAAACTGCATAAACTTACAGAAGATAAATCAAAAAATGACTTACATTTGTTACAAAAACTATGTTGGCAGCAGGGTATCATTACAGCCTCATTAAATATAGAATTGCAAAGCGAACACCTAAGCTCCGCTGGCAAATCTGTATTAAATGTCACCTGAAAGTGCATATCCCTGCCTCCATACCAAAAGTATAAATGCACGGTGCAATGATCATCACAAAGGATGAATGAGAAGAAATAGAAAATTATTCTTACTCGGAAAGTTTCTTATTCAGGTTAACATTGCTATTTGTGTTCATTGCCTTTTGGTTCTCTTCTACATCAGACTCCCTCCGGAAGTTTTCACCAACTTCTGATTTCCCATGCAAAAGTAATATCAAATCATAAAAGGTTTTTGAGTTAGACACAAATTTCTGAATTGCATAATCAATACCCACTGTTGGACAAGGCCTCACTAACATCGCTGCCATCAAGTTTTTGACCCCAAAGCTTGGGTACTTCCAAGAATCTAAAACAAAATATATATATATATATAAATATAGTATTTTTTGCATTTTCGAAGTACAGCTCTCAGAAGAATAGTTTAAAATTGCAAATTTTAAAGAATATTGTTTGAATGCTTCCAGAAAAAGCAAGACAACCAAATATCGAGGTCATATGGTTATGCATGAAGCATGTCCATCAAATCATGATTAAAACAAGCATGCAAATTTAATAAAGCGCATAGTCATGTGGAAAACATTGTAGCAACATGTTAGTCCTAGACTAAAAGCTGAGTTTACTGCAGTAGTGGTGCATCGCACAGCAAGGCAGCTTGAATGATTTCAGCCAGCACAAAGCACCACCATCTTCACCCCCATGGGGGGCCCCACCACAACACTGGCATCTTTGCCATCTTAATCCATTAAATTGTACACATAAATAAGTTATCTGAAAGCGTGTGTAACAGCTCAATAAAAGAATAATTGCGATAAACGATAAATAACAGGGACTCAATCAAAAATATCTACACAAGCAAAAAGAATGTTTAATTTAAGATAGAAGAACACATGACTAGAAGTGAGTATTTAGCTCGTAACAAAGAAATTTATCTGCATTTAATGCCTACCAGCTAACAAGGTAAAAAATTATCCCCAACGTGCACGCAATCAAGTTAATGGACAAGAGACAGATTTACATAAAAAACCTATATAACAATGCCTTTTATTTGAGCAGTCACATTCACATAAATTCTATCATGAGTAGCTCAGAAAACTTCTATTCATGAACTAAAATATCAGTCTTGTCTGACACAATATCAATGGTTGTACTCATGCCTATTGAGATGCAAGCCACAGCTAAAGATTAGAAAGTGCCTTGGACCATACCAATAGGTAAGATGCTTAATCTCCTATATAAATACCTTAGGCCATGAAGAACAACTATTGAATGCTACAAAAGATAATGCCATATATATTATATAGACATTTATGTATATAGTATGTATGCATGGATGGATGGATCTTGATGTACTATGTATTAGTTTGAAGATCAAGTTAACTTCTTCAGAATAAAAGGATTATTAGAGATCAGCCAACAATAAAAACATGATAGATTTGTTAATGAGCAAACTTGCATTAATATAAGGAAAGGATAATAGTTGCAACTTGCACCTGGTGGAAACATCCTTCTTTCTATTAACAGCAATATTAATGTGGTCCATATGATCAGCATAGCAATGAATTGGAGCATCTAAATTGGAATATAAATCAACACCAAAGTCGTCAAAGTTGTTGTTCTCAAAATTCTGCAAATGGCAATCAGTAATAAGCCAACAAAAACTTCCATGGATGTCAGAAAAATACAGAAAAGCAAGTATTAAAAGATTTACTAACTATACAATGTCCACCGGCCACACAAATTCATTATCCACAAAGGGTTAGATGGATATTTATATGCTTTGTTAGAGAATAATAATCATGCTCGTTCAATAGCATAAGTACAAAATTGACTAAGACCATCCCTCATTGGTTAGTAAACACTATTAATGTCAATGTCAAAGTTTAAACTCCTCAGAAACAAAAGATGCAAGCATTCTAAGTTTTCATGTTAGTTGTTCCAATTTCATAATTCCAAATTTTTCAAGTTCATTCAGTTTAAACACGTCTATAATGTGTATTCCTATAGACATCTACTTTTGTTCTCTACTATCTACAATGGTTTAATTGGGTGGATTTGTTGTTGTTCTATGGCAAGTTTTTTGGTTGGCTCTCTATTTCCTCCAATAAAGATACTCCAACTATTGGTTCACTATTCCCACAGCGATTGATTATAGGTATTGCAACTGCTAAATTTTGGGGAATTACTCTTCATGGCTAAACACGAAAAAAAAAATGTTGACATTGTGATGAGCTCTATTGAAGTTTATTTTACATAATATTTGGATCCTTATCCTTTTACCATTTAGGATAACCAATTCTCACTCTTATATATATGAGTGCACTCAATACTCTTGTTTATTTGTATTCTGAAAGAAGAAAACAAAAAGCATCAAGTGCATTTATCAAGGCTGAAAATGAGGGGAAGTGGCCAGAAATAATTAATAGGTCTTAAAGAATGTCCAAATCATCCAAGCTCGGGGTTAAGCAACAAAGGGTGTTTTAGTGACCGTTCATTAATGAGAAAGATTGCAAAAGAGAGTACCCAAGAATTTTCATGTTACAATTATGTAAGAGTTCAGAACTCTACTTCCATATGGTTCGGTTCAATCTTGCCTTCCTGATTTAAGAGTGCTTTTTATTAATGCAAAAGTATATTATTTAGTGACTCGAGTTATTGTGATTCATAAATGAATGAATTATAGAATTATAGAATTAATATGTGACCATAGCACTGTTTTTAGATAATCAGTTATGTTTAATTTTATGCATTTATATTGTTCAATAAGTTAGAATGGGTTGGCAGGAAAAACAAACAAGATTATAAAGGTTAGTTCCAAAAGGACTTTAAGGAATCCCTAAATAGACTAAAAAACACAATGTTGCATTTGAAGAAATAATAATGGAGCATTACAAACTAGGAAGCGTTCCCAAAAGAATTTTGGGAGAATTATGTTGTGAGTTCTAAACTAAATATTTTTCTTAACATAACATACCCTATACTCATTGATGTGACACAATTTAAGAATATGAAAACTAACTTCGATATTGGATGCCAGCTTTCTAAGAAAAATGGTTGGATATAGGATAAGGTGCATCATCTACCAATGATGAGTGATTAGATTTGAGAGGAAGTGAATGAAGTTTGTCAAAAGCACAAATTTATTAAAGTGATATGGAATTGGTAGTATGCAAAAGACTAAGTAAATCAACGAGAAAATAAAACAGCAACAGAATGGGGATTCTATTGAGTACGATCTTCCCAAATCTAATCCAAAAAAAGGTGATGGCCTTGCTTTTGGGAACTACACCTTTTAGGGTTTTGGAGAACATCATGAGAGAGAGAGAAAGAGAGAGAGGGTGTAAATTGCTTCAAGCTTAATTATTGCATTTTAGGAGATCATATTAATGAGAGAAAAAAAACTAACCTGTCTATCCACAAAACAAACAAAATGCAATAATCTAGAAAACAGTAATATTTTTTTTTTCTTAAATTTAGTCAAATTATAAATAATCATAGCTTAAATCAAAAGATTTCCTTCGATACCTTGTTTAGGAGGACAACCATATATAATTAATTAGAGAGAATTGGGTAGAGAAAATTGTGGTTTCCTTAATTCCCGCAACATAAATGCCCTTCTTATCCTAATTTGAAATTACAATTTTGCTATTTATCCACTCCTAAACTTGTTGCACACCTAATCTACCAAAGCAATAAATTATACCTACATAAAATAATTTAATACAAAGAAAGCTACCCTGCTTTTCTCATTTGAAGCACCTTTTTATAGACTCTCTCTCCTTTAAATTCATCAAATAGATTCTAACATCATGTATGGACACTTACGTACATAATCAACCTCCTAAGTACTCAACTTGTTGTCCACTCTAGAATTAACTATGTGTTTCTCTGTGGTAATCACTTTGTGATTCTCTTGGGTCATACCCATGTCTTCTTGAAATCTTGCATGAACCATAGACTCCACAGGGAATTATCATTTAAGCGAATAAAAAAGAAATGTTTCTTCATCTTTTACTTCTACAATGGTGGCTTACAATGCAAAATAAATAAGTAAATTGCAAAGATAAGATTGGATAGTTTCCCTAATGCCTTAGAAATCCCTCGCATATCTTAGGTTAGCTGCCTGATACCTGAGTTAAGTCAAAAATAATAAAAAAACAAATATTAATATTAAATTCAAAAAAAAAAAATACAACCGACGGAAAACTGAAATTGCAATAATTGACAATACAAACCCAAGTTACAGGGTAGATCTAGGGGTGGTGCTGGTGATCTGCGAGGGTTTGGAAAGTTGCCTAAGGATGGAAAAGGCTGTTAGCAAGCAAAAAATAGAAAGGTGAGTGTTTTCCCAATGCCAGACAGCAAGCAAACAGCGGGAAATGATGTGGGAGGCATGTCCGAGGTGATGGCAGCAAGGATGGAGACTGAAATGAGGGTGGCAGCAAAGAGGATGGGCTGGACAGCAGCAGCAGCAGTGAAGGTGGATGGCTAGAACAGTAGTTACTAAAGAGGGGAAGGGCGGGACAGAGGACATATGCAGGAAAACAACAAAATGTCTATTGTCGGGGCAGCCTGCAGCAATGAAGGAGGTGTGGCGGCGAAGCTGGATAGACGTGAAAGAAAATAAGGAAGATACACACCACCTGAAGACCAAGATAAAGGTGAAGCAACACCTGTAATCCAATGTTACAGGCCTTGAAGAGAAAAAGAGACATTCACGGCTATCTCAATACAAAAAATACAAAAACTAGACCTAAAATATCAGCAAAGCAAAAAATATATATAGTAATAGGATAATCAGGAGTGGCCCAAGCGGATTGGTCGACTACACAACAATGTAAAAATCTGGACTGGTTTCATCCAAGTATGAAGAGAGACGCCGCTTCTGTTGCAGGAGCTCTCGCGTAGGATATGCCCCGCTTCAGTCTCTCATGGTTTGGGGAGCTTCGTCTTCATCAATTAAAACATTTGTCGCCTTGTGGTATGGGATTAGGTCGACCACATTGAAGGTAGAAGGACGATGTGTTTGCCATGCTTGATGAAGGAATAGGCGTTCATCTACCCATCATGCCAAGTCTTGCAATCAAACTGCCACAGTCTCCCTAACAAAAAGTGGCAGACAGTATAGTTGATTCCAAATAAAAAACTCTACGAAACCCCTCCTGTCGATGATGACTTTGTTCTTCTTCCTCAACCACATAAAATAATATGATTGGGAGTATCTCTGAGTCATGAAGCTCAACTTGTCCACCATCTGTGTCGATGTCACATTCTTGCTGCTTTCCCCATTGGCGATGAGTGCATAGTATTCCTTTTACAGCGCAACGAGTGTAGAATATGTTGTGGTGAAGCCGCTGTTGATCGATCGTAGCTTTAGTCTATAAAACTCGTCGAACCAAAAGCATCTCGCCCTCAATCGATAAAAGTTGGTGATCTTCCCAATTTTTTTCAGCTACCTCCACGTCCCTAAGTTTCTATATTGCACCATGATCGATAAAGGACACAACCCTACTCGTCGTGCAATTGGAGGCGATGAGCCCAAATTCATGGCATCAAAAATATTTTATGGTTGGGAATGTAGTGGGAGTGCTACTCTTCTCAGGCTTCTTATCCTGAGTGGCTCTGTCCTTCTTCCCAGTCTTCTCAACTCTCTCGGTCGTGCTCCTACTGATGTCTCCAACTGTGAGTGGATGTCTAAATGACGGTGGGTGCCTATTTAGCTTCTATTGTCTCTCCACCTTCAGTAACAGGGTCTGAACGTCACCCAAAGACCAATAAGGCTATAGTTGAATCACATTGTCGGTGGGCTTCAGGTCTCCCAAATACCTGGCTATCGTGCGTTCTTCTAGCTCTGTCAAATCACATTTCAGCTTAAATTGCATAAACTCTATTGTGTACTCCTCCACTGATAGGTCCCTTGACTGTAAACATTGGAGCCTCAAGAAAATATCCTGGTTATAGTGTGTGGCAAGCATTATTGCCGCAACTCTCTCATTTTTTCCCATGTAGAAATTTTGTTTCAACCTTATCTATTTCTCTCCCCTTTAGATTCTCCTACCACAACGAGATGGTCTTCTTCAACTTGATAGCAACTAGTTTAGCTTTCCTTTCACTGGCACCTCCTTGTATTTGAACACCCTCTCGAAGGTCTGAAGCCACTTTATAAAATCACCCTAATTCATAGCATCTGAAATATTTATGGTTTGGAATGTAGTGGGAGTGCTGCTCTTCTCAGGTTTTCTTCTTATCCTGGGTGGCTCTCTTCTTCTTCCTGGTCTTCTCAACTCTCTCAGGCGTGCTCCTACTGATGTATTCAGCTGTGAGTGGATATCAAAATGACGGTTAGTGCCAACTCTCCTTCTATTGTATCTCCACCTTCAGTAACAGGGTCTAAACGTCACCCAAAGACCAATAAGGCTGTAGTTAAATCACGTTGTTGGTTGGCTTCTAGTCTCCCAAATATCTGGCTATCATGTGCTTCTCTAGCTCCGTCAAATCACATTTCAACTTAAATTGCATAAACACTATAATGCACTCCTCCACTGATAGGTCCCTCGACTGTAAACATTGGAGCCTCAATAAAATATCCTAGTTGTAGTGTGGGAGCAAGCATTATTGCTGCAACTC